AAGAAGGACTTAAGGATCTTAAAATATTAAAATAAATATATTGCGGGATTATATAAAGTATGGTACACGTAAAAAAATAAGTTTTGGTATATGTTGTTAATAAATAAAATTTTGGCAAATAGAAAATTATTTCCACTTATAGCCCTTTTCTCTCCGGTTTTCAATTCTCCAGTTAAATCAGATATGTGTTTCAATTACTCCAAACACCGTCATAAATATAAATTGAACAAATCTTCACAAATACTGAAATTCTCACAGAACGCACCACTTTTCAACAACTTGCAATCACTCCCCAGATTTATCTTCGCAGTATTCGTGGCTAATAACCATAAAAATACAGTTAATACGACACAAATTACTCTACAAAAGGACAAATAAATATCAAATGTTCACTTTGACGATAAAAAAAATATTTGACTTGGATTTTCCCCCGTGCAAAAGGCGCGGTAGATGGAGGAAAAGAGGGGAAATGAATGAATCGATCAAATGACATCAGTTGAAGTCACACAAGGATAATCCCCGTGCAAAACGACGTAATGCAGCGAGCACGTTTCACGATATTTGCTAAACGAATGAAACTCACCTCGTAATTAACGGCCGTTTAAACAAACTACAGCTTCGTTACACTCAACTGCTAACTCTCTGATACGATTGACGACCACGCGAAGATCTTTTCCCCGTTACGCATCGATGCGACGCGGTTTTATTAATATTTCCACGTTTTCCCGGTCGACGTGATTACGTCGACAGAAAATACGGGAAAATATTTGCCGATCGAATGAATGGAAACCGTCGGCCACCGGATTCGTAAATGCAAATTACGCGAAACGTGGCCTGTTCGAATTTTCTTCTTTTTCTTCAATTATTTCAATTATTTCAACTGTAACTTTTGCAGTATTTCGAAACGCAGTTTTCATAAATATTCGAATTTCATCGAGAAAGCAATTTTCGAGAGAAATTCGTTGGAAACGCGATCGAATTCTTCGGCGTAGTCGCGTTCAAATTGAAATTAATTATCAATGCGGTTCATCAAGGTGCGCGACGCACAATCGCGTGTCGTCCGTCGTGATATATTTATAATCCAATGAACGTTCCTCGTTTCGATCGAACAATGTACAATAATAAAAAGATCCGGTTAAAGGTTGAAAATGTTGAATGACGTTTCAACGTGGAAAATTTATGGTGATAGTAAAGTATTTCTGTTTGTTCAGTTGGATGAATGTTTTCCTTAATTGAACGCGAAGACACGGAACGGTAGAAATTCTGTATAGTGCCGTTTGGAAAGTAATAAAACAATCTGAAAATTTGTGTTATAAAAAAATAGCGGAGTGAGCAAATTTGGATAAATTTCAAAAATTATTTTTCAGCTATAGTAATATTTTTATTTTCTACCGTATTAAATTTTAATCTTAATTTTCAATTTTGTTTGAAATTTTCAATAAAAAGCGGAACTTTCGTTGTATAATACTCGTTGAAATGGTAGATTTTATTTTCTCAATACGTCAGGTAGATAATTACTTGCAACAATTTGTAATTAAAAAATTTCCTAATTTTCACGTTGCAGCACCGGAATTCGTGTGTTTAAAAATTCGAGGCCTGTTGGTATAGAATTTTTCTTCGGTCCTCTGAAATAGTAGCACATTATTTGCTACAAATTTGTAGCCTGTAAAGTTTCAAAGGCGTTACACGCCGGTATGCCGACTCTTAGAGAGGAGCTGAAAAGTCTTTGAAATAGTAGAGTGGTTTTTCACGAACTAAAATTGGTAGAAAAATCTTTCACAAAGCCCCCTTTTCTTCCACGTTTTTCAGTCTACGGAAAGATCAAAACTATCCGGGTGACACTACAATTCTTCGTTATTTTGAAATTGGATACTCCTTTGTAATAGTTAACGCGATTGATCTTTCGGATAATTCTCCATCTTTCCTTGTAAGCTTTCGGCTTACAAGAAACTTCAGAAAACTTTTTACGTGGTATTACAAATATCTCCAAGCTTGAATATCCTCGGAGTAAAGTTTCCTTAGGGGGATAAAGATCGAAGTGAAGATAAAGGACGCCTGGAAACATTTTCGTACGATAAATATGCACGTTCGATTACAGTTATCAATGTTAGTTAAGGTTGCAATAATTAATGTAAACGTGTCATTTTTCAGGCACTTCGATACGACAGCAAACGAAGAGCTGGAGAGCCGAGCATAAAGCTGCGAGGACGCTCGGAATAATAATGGGCGCGTTCCTCCTTTGTTGGCTGCCATTTTTCCTTTGGTAAGCGAAAATCGTGTTACCCTTTCGGAATTCTATTTTTCCACCTATGTAGAAAATGGTAGCTTCACTTTATCATTCGGTAGAAATTCGTTCCTAAATAAGAATTAGCCTTGTCTAATTAATCTCCTAATCACAGTAACACTTGAATTATTTAAGTCAAAATGAGCTACCTGTAATGATTCAATTACACATTGCTGCATAAACTAGCAATTTGATCAGTTTCATTGGGATAACATTTAGGTTAGTAGTGCTTTTATGTCATATCGTAATATGAGAAAATGCTGCACAACTATATATAGTTTGTTTTATTTTTAAAATTTCCACTGCATTCGCTGCTGGAGAATAAAATATTTCAAGTTGAAAAATTCTTATTTTCTGAATCAAAGAACTGATCTAACGTTCAATTTCAAGTTGTCCGTATTCCCTAAATTTTTGCCGTTTAACCCTCGGAAGGCGAATGGTTTTAGACGAACGCGAGAGACGAATGCAGGGTCATTTCGACCCACAGCAAAATTTCTATCGTATACGAGTTTCAAGAAGGAATTGTGTACAAATGTGTACACTTTCAACTGTATACATTTTACATTTCCCTTGTTTATTTACCAAGCGTAGTCTGAGCCGCCTGACTTTATCGAGTCAAAATGACCCTGCATTCGTCGTACGATGGTTAAACAGTGTTCCACAGTGAACCGATAAACAGTCACCGGTGCAAACGATATTTTCCTATTCCACGCATCGCTACTTCATATCCATACTATATCACTTTTCTACTTACCGTTGCAATACTTTTCTGCTTACTCCACTTGACGCATCCTTCCACGTTACAAATCGCGACACCGGAAGCTTTGTGTTCCAGCAGCGGCGCGGCGGACGAAGGGAGGAAACTCCGGCTCGAATTCGACGCGTACGAACGAGCTGGCTGCAAGCTGCTTCAGAGGCTTTCGTACCATCGACGGCCAAGTTTCCCGAGTCGGTGAATACTCGCGAAAGCTGAGCCAGCCGCATGTTTTATTAATGCAAAGCCGAGCTGTGCATCCCGTCTAGTTTACCGAGAGTTTAGCCCTTCTCCCCCGTTCGCCGAGCCCTCTCTCTCGCCCGCAGTCTAACTATTTGCTTGACTAAGCGATGCAACCGCGGTGTTTCCGAGGAAATGGCACTTCGTTCTTATTGCCGGGGATAATAAGGAGGCCGGCAGTCGCGAGCCATTTCGGTTTTAATGAGAATTCCGAACGTTAAACTGCTCCTTCGAAACTGGTCCACGATTTCACGCCAGGCACAGTGGACTTGGTCGCGTGGAATTTCGATTTATCGTTAATTATCCATGATAGAAGAAGCCTCTACTCTCTGTTGACGGAGAGATCAGGCTGGGTAAAGTTGCGGAGCTGGAAGTATTAATTTCAACTGAAGAACGGTTTGTGTATATCTGTATTGTAGATAGTATTGACTGGTCCACTTGGATGAGACTGTCCTTAAGGAGGAATTTCGGCATTTATTGTTTGAATTGGAAGATAGTTGGTGGTGGTTGTGGAAAGATTTGAATGGGCAATCGAGAAATTTGTTTGCGTTCGAAACTGGTTCGAGCTTTCGTGCGGAAGTTTAATTTGGATCGGTGTATCTGGATTTATTGTTGACTAGGTTTACAAATTTCTTTTCTGGGGGCAATTATGGAGGAGCTGGAACTTATTCTGTCGTCTGTTTTCTATGATAGTGTTTTCACGTGATGGTAACTGTCTGTAGTTGAAGATTTTTCATTATGGTTACATTGAGATTAATTGAAATTAATTCAGTCGCCTATTTTCCACGATAGTGTTTCCATACGTTGCTGATTAACTATAGTAGAAGATTTTTCACTATGGTTACATTGAGGTTAGTTGAAATTAATTCAGTTACCTATTTTCTACAAGTGTTTTCGTACATTAGCAGTCATCTATAGTAGAAGATTTTTCACTATGGTTACATTGAGATGATAAGAAAGAGGATTTCCGAATCTTTGGTTCGTATAAGATCAAGAGATAAAAGGCGGCTACATTTTTTATTATGCATTCCACTGAATCTCAACTTTTATACGAACAAGTTCACGAGTTACTTAACATCTTCAACGTAGTTAAGATTATTACATATTTTATTATCCAAAGATTAGATCCTTGTCTGTCTGTAATTTCCAACGACTTCTCCAGATTTTCCAGCCCACTGAAAACTTGATGAAATACGTACTTACGTACTTGGTTTATTAGCGATTCCCTCCAACATTCTCGCTTTATGTCGCTTTTTAGCCTTCTATAAACAAAAAAGATTTCAAATTCTCGCTTGAAAAACAATACTGTAACTTTCCCTTTACGATGAAATGCAAGACAAATAGCGTACTACCGATATTACGAATGAAAGGTTCTCGCAGTACATCGCATACAGAACACTCTTTACAATCAAAGAGAATAAATTTCATATGTCGTTCCATGAAAGATCACTTCGTGTGTGTTCGAGTTCCACGGTATACGGTATGTACTTGGTTTTCTTAGAAAATAAAATTTCAAAAGAGAGCCACGGAATCGCGAGAACAAACTTTTCTTCTCATAGAGGGGAAGAGCTCTTCTTCTTAGGTTGTCGGTGAAATTTTCAACGCGAAGCTTACGTGTTAAGAATAGATATTGTAGGAGAATTGTGAGAATTTTTCGTTAAGAATAGATATGGAACGAGAATTGTAAGAATTTTATGTTAAAAATAGGCGTGGAACGAGAATTGCAAGAATATTCAAGAATCGTTTGTAATGAAAAAGCAATGCAGAAAAGGAGGAAAATTAGTACCTACTTGTTTCATTACTGATAATTTTCCATAAAGTATCATTGAAGTCAATTACACTATTTGTTACAGTTGAAACACATAAAATAGTAACTTGTGATGAATTCAAAGCTTCACAATTTGGATTAACATTTCTTAGAGCCAGATTAACCCAATTCCAATATTTTTCAAATTGAGCTATACACATGCAGCACATATTGAATTTTATTCTCTTCTACCTAAAGGGATGATTTAGCACCTAACACTTCTCCATAAAAACAACTACTCATGAATTAGACACGTTCAATTCTTTCCCATTTTTCAGTATTTCAACCCTTAAGGGGCTAATTCTGCCCCTAACACTTTCTTATTGAAAAAACTACGATAGTTAAAGATTAGTACTTGAGTACAAAAATTGACCTAGAATTTTTTCCCACTTCTGTTGAGTTTTACTCCTCCCTGCATCTTCTAAAGCAACGATACAGCCCTCAACTCCTTTTTATCGACAGAACTACAATACTTAAAAATTAGAATTTTTTCCCTTTTCATTTCTTTCTGCTCCATTGTGTATGTCTTAAGGGGATTATTGAGCCCCTAACACTTCTTCATTGAAAGAACAATACTTAAAAATTAGATACTACTACGAGTATAACAATTGATAGAATATTTTCCCACTTTTGCTAAGTTTTGCTCCACTGTGCACCTTCTAAAGCAACGATACAGCCATCAACTCCTTTTCATCGACAGAACTACAATACTTAAAAATTAGTATCGTGACTGGAAAAATCGACATACAATTTTTTCCCTTTTCATTTCTTTCTGTTCTATTGTGTACACCTTAAAGGGATTAAAATTAACAAAAATTTGCCCCACGTTTCTTTAGTCTTTCTCCTCTGTGCACCTTCTAAAGCAATAATCCACCTCCTAACGCCTTTTTATTTAGAAGGACTACCTAAAAATTAGTATCAAAAGTCCCCAGTGCGTTGAAAATGTTGTCGCTCGAATATTCCCGCTGACTAATATTCATATTTTCATCCGTTGCGCAGAAGTTATTTATTTTGGAGGTGACGCGTTTCGAAACGTCCCGTGGACCAGAAATCTCTGTCAACCGTGGCACGGAGCTAATCGAGCCGTGCGCGGCCGGTGATTTATGGAGAACGTCGAACGCGTTCGCATATGTCGCGGCTGCACAATAATGCTCGTCACACGCTTGCCACACGTTCACAAATCGTACAGGGGTTCTCGGTTTTACGCGTGGCTGGCCCACGGCTCGGAAATCGACGTGTTTCATAGGTCGAAGGGAATTCGTATGTTTAATTGTTCCCGTTTATTTGCTTATGGAAAAGACGGCTGATTGTGTGATTGTTTAGTAGGTTCGTTTGTTCGCTTGTGAAGAAGATACTTAATTGTGTAATTGTTCCCTATCCACGGCGTCGTCCTCCAATTTGCTTCCAGCGAGAAAAGTCGTTTGATTATTTAATCGTGTTATTGTCGGATTTATTTATCCGTTCGTGGAAAAGGCACTTGTGCAATTGTTCCGCTTGTTTGGTCATCGAGAAGACGCTTAATTGTGCGATTGTTTAATTTGTTTGCTCGCGAGGAACACTTTGTTCCTCCTGGTTTTGCTTATTTTCGAGAAAGTGGAGGAAGTTTGGAGAAGGTTCCGTTTTTGCTTCATTTGTTCTGCTTGTTTCGTTTAATTGCTCTATTTCTGTTTATCTTTTAGGAAGTGAAGAAAGTTTCGAAGAATGCCTATTTTTGATCGACTGTAATTCTTCTTTTTTTTATTATTTAAGTAGTTGGTTGTACAAAGAAAATTTTCACTTCGTCGTTGAGGATTTAACGTGCAATGTGGTAAATACAATAATAACTGCATAAAGTGCAAGCAAAATATTTGTATTTCTTTAATAATGAAAGTTTGGCAAATGCCAGATTTCATCTGTATTCAATCTAAATCAGCTAGAGGAAATATTTGACGAGATCCAGCATCAATGAATTCGCGATTACCATTTGACATTATTGATTATACTCATTTAATACTATTGCTTTGCAATTGGGAGAAATTCTAAATAGTTGCAGTGTTTTCTTCTTTAACATCACTACTAAAATAGTATTACAGAAATATTTACAACGATTCACGCAAAAATGCGCAATTTTCCAATCTCAAAACTTCGCTAAATTTCACAACTTCCATCTTATTTACAAACACCAATTTATGAGCAAGCTTGATAAAATTCATTCTCAAGTTTCATCACATTACACCGATAAAAGTGTACCGAATTTACTAAAAGCTCAATCTCAAGCTCCATTCCTTTCATCTACTAAAGAAACTGAAGTCTCGAAAGCAAAAATGTAATCAATCACAGGATACGAATAGTTAACCAAACTCGGTTCAAACGATCCACGTAAATCTCACGTAAAAATGAAGAAATCAGTGACAAAGTGTTACAATAAAATATTGCTGTACAATAAAAGAATTTATCGTGTATTAAGGCATGTTTTGAAAGTTCTGTTAATTCATTTCGAAGCAGTCATCGCCGAACTATAATCAATTCTCGAGCTAGCAAGAAGCTGAGCAACGTAATCCGGTAATAACTTACTCGCTGCAGTTGCAGTCGTTCCACGACTTGATCCAACTTTCGCCAAGACTATATTCGAACGTTTATTTCAACTGCGAATTAACCACGTGTCTGCTTGACGAACAGTTCTCACTCAGTCCCGTAATATTTTACGAATTCTACGGTGAATCGTTAGTTTCGTCTATCGTTGTGTTGTACTACTTGTTTGGCTCAAACTCCGTCCTACCGTTGCATTTCGAAAGAGGTTAAGTGTAACAGTAACGGGAAAGTGTTTTTAATTTACCGTTTAATTTACCATCTGAAAATGTTAATCGAAATTGCTGTGCAGTTTTGAAACTTTTTGAATTTAATATTGCTAAATAGGCTCCTAGAAGTAACGTTTTCTCGAATTTCAGTAAATTACCTATTTTCTGTACTGCTTTTCGAAATAATTAATTTCAGCAATTTAGAAATTTCTTGAATTGAATATTCCTCGAAAGGCGCATAGAAAAAATAATTTATAGAACTGTGAAGTTTGATAAATAATTTTTTTCGATAAATTGTTCTGAAAGCTTCTCGCGAATAAACGTTATTAATGAAACTACACGCACTTTTCGATAATACTGATTTATGGTGACATAAATTTCAAACGCAACGACAACAGAACGGTACTCGTGTAAAATAAAATGCGAGCATCTGCAATTCACAAAAAGGAAAAAATTTGAAAATTTAATTTAACATCGCATTTCCTTAATTTTGTTATGGAATAATTTTGTGATTCGGAAACTTCGTGTAATTAAAATACAGAGACATTAATTTCAGTTTGAGAAAAAACAAAAATGAGATAGAAGCTAACTAACGTCGCGGAAAAGAATGGCCAATTGTGAAAATTTCATTTGGTGGAAAAAAAATTCTCATTTATTCCCAGATATTTAATTCGTCAGAAACTTCCTCTTTTTCGCGAACAATCGATTTTCAAGATAAATTCTCATTTATCGTCGCCTGGAATGTCCACCTCTGTAAAAACAACGGAAACAGAACAAGAGACGTCACGTGATCCTCTGTCGGCGTGTTCACATTAGCTCTTTTTTTTTCGAAACGAATATTTTCGAAAGCCAACAAGGGCAGGAAGATACGAGGTTTCGTTTCGCTGTCAATTTTATATACGCGCTTCCGCATGGCGGAGAGAATTCTTCGTAATCCGAACATCCGCGAAAACATCGCGAAACTCTTTACCGGAACGATGAATTCTCATTCGTCCAGCTGGACTAACATTTCGACTACGCCGCGCTCGCGGACAATTTTTTAATTAAAATGGCAGGACACCGTGGCGCGGCGCGGCTCGCATCGACTTCCGCTCGCGGACGCTGACCTCCCGTCGAAATGAGTTAAAAGGTTGTACAGGTTTTTCTAGGACGTGGAAGCTTAATGCAGGATATGAAACGACGATCCTCTATCGCGCGGGCGTATCAAACGACTCGTTAACGATCGAGCCGCTGTGAAATGTAGAAAAAGCGGAGGAATGGCCTTTTCTATATGGAAACTATGGGTTAAACGTTGGCGGTCTTGGTCGCGGGATGCGCGAGCTGTTGAAAGTTTTAATTTCAGTTCTTAAGAGAGTTCAGTTTTGTTTGAATTAAAAAAAAATTATCGTGATGTGGAATTTCTTTGTTTACATGTTTTTTGTGATGAAGGAATTGATTGTTGGTGGCCTGTGTAAGTTATTTTATGGGGAAACTTAAGGTTGAAGCTCTGAAATTTTTAGGAAGGTTCGAGTTAATTTCAATTTTTGAAAAGTCACGATATTTTATTCGTTTATTTACAATTTTTACACAAAAACAGACCATTTGAGGCCTATATAAGTTATTTTATGGAGAAACTTACTCTGACATTTTGAAATTAATAGAAAATATTTGTTCTCACATTTTAAGTAGTTTCATTTCCCCGTAATATAAAAATATCTTTAAATAATTCACATTACATATGATGCCTAATATTTTTGGCCAAGGCTGTACACAAGTTATTTTACGAACAATGTTAAAGTTTAAAGCTCCGACATTCTTTTCTACCATTCGTTAGGCTTCACAGTGTTACCATGACATTAGTTAGAAACAGAAGAAAACAAGTCACATCTATGATTTTTGCCAACTGTGTTACCACTTTCCAGATTGACAAATTGATTAGGTCTAAGTTTGAGTATTTCATAAAAATTAAGTGTGCATAAGTGGTCAAGCACCCGTTGTATGAAGTAAAACTAGTAAAAATACAGATATTAACACTAGGTTTACGGACATTTCTTATCATCTATCTCTACGTACACGCGTCAATTTGACGCGTGAATGAAACCACACATTTCCTTTAAAAAACAACTTACTCTATTTAAAAACAATATATTATACACTATTATCCAAATAGGAAACCTCCAAGGGAGAATGGAGAGGGAGCAGTTGGCGTAGTGCGCAAAGCCTCGGCCTGCTAATCCAAAGGTCCCGGGTTCGATTATTTCCTTTAAAAAACAACTTACTCTATTTAAAAACAATATATTATACACTATTATCCAAATAGCAAACCTCCAAGGGAGAATGGAGAGGGAGCAGTTGGCGTAGTGCGCAAAGCCTCGGCTTGCTAATCCAAAGGTCCCGGGTTCGATTCCCGGTTGGGTCCCTCGAAATTTTTTCGTCAGTTCCTAGGAGTGGTAGGAAAGAAATGTAAACGGTTTCTGTAATTTTCCTTGTGAAATTCGAAATGCGTCAGAATGACGCGTCTCGTAAACCTAGTGTTAAGAATGTAAATCGAAATAATTCCACCATATCCTTCAAAATAGTGCGAAGCATAGGGAACACGATACTTCAACAGACTCGCAATAACGAACGTGTTAATTCTCAATTCACGACCATCTAACGACAGAACAACCCTATTTCGAAACCACTTCGCTAACCCATTGATACTCCTCTTTTTCAGGTACGTGACGACGTCACTGTGCGGCGAGGCCTGCTACTGTCCAGACTCGGTGGTGGCCGTCCTCTTCTGGATAGGTTACTTCAACAGCGCCTTGAACCCGCTGATCTACGCGTACTTCAACCGCGACTTCCGCGATGCCTTCAAGGACACGCTGCAGAGCGCCCTGCCATGTTGCGCGAGCTGCTGGAAAGCCCCGTCGCAGTTCGTCTAGCGGGAGAGACCCCCCTGAACAGTCGAGTCGAGCGCGCTGTCTCCTGCGATCCACTGGATCGGTACTCGGTATCGACTCGTTCGCCGAACGATTGTCCAACTTGCCAAGCTGAGAAAAGTCGTGGAAACGGCCCTTGTTGCCCGGCAGACGCGTGTCTGTTGGCTGGACGCAACTTGACCCACTCGAGGACTGTCGACTGTGGACAATGGTCAGGAAAAAGGGAAATTTTTGGGGAGACATTTTTTCGAACAGGTTTTTGAACGACAGAGGAGTTGGAGGGGAAACTGGCTGTTAGCATGTTCTGGATCGTGTGAAGCAGCGATGAGCAAGCTTTTTTTCTGCGGAGGGCTGAAATGGCAACCTTGAAGAGTTTGATTTGTTAGTTTGAAAATTGGCGATTCATAAGGTGGAACGTTTGTTTTCAACAGAGGTAACGATGCATGCATTTTTATTTTATTTTACTTCCTGAAAGTTTACTATTGTTTTCGAAAATGATTTCCTGGAAGAAAAATTTAAATTTCGATAAATTCGAAAATTTTCAATTTCAATAAATTTGTGTTGAAGGAAGAATTTATCGATTTAGCTAATTGAAGTGGTTCACACGAACAACGTCGACAAGTTGCTCGTCACTGGTGTGTAGTGTTGGTAAGGGTTGTACGAAATGTTGATATTTGATGAAAGAGAAACGATGTAAGAAATACGAATAGGTTACCTGGGAAGTTCTGTTAGATTTTCTTTTCAGAGAAGTATTACATTCTTTTAAAAACAATCTATTTACTTTACAACTCTGTCTCATCTCTAATACACTCCCTCAAAATGTAACTCGCATAATCTACTACGACGAGATGTACATCTTGGTTAAAGTATCTAGCAAACAGAACATTTCAAGGAATCTATATCTAACGTGTTAACCTCTTCGAAGTGACATTTGTAACATGTCACATATTTTTTAATGCTAAACTATACAATGCTGAAACGTGAAATATACAAACTCTATCTTATACGAATTTCCGCATTTTACAGTGTTATTAAGGACGAGGTCAGTGACTCTTGCTATGTGTGCAAAAGTGTGGAATAATGTTGAATATTACGAATACGAAAGATTTCATTGAATGTTGTTTCAAAGAGTTAATCGAAATGTTGCGTAGATGTTAACAAGTTCTGTCGAGAATCTTCAAATTTACACGATGTTGAACGTGCTAATGGTACAGTGTATAGCTTATTAATCGAATCTTCTTAGGGAAGCCATTGAGCGAGAATATTGTAAGACGAGTAATTCGGTGATACATACTTTAGCGTTGTTTGAATCTTCTGTATCAACATAAACTGGAACACACGACATGGAGTTGAAAAACACGCTACGTTGTGAGGAAGAATCCTCTGATTGTCAGCAACAAGAAGCAATAGCTTGCACAAAACTTGTCACAAAATATGTAAATCTGTTACTTGAGAGCCACATTGCTGGTAGATTGAAGGGAGAGCGACTATCGAACATGTTGAAGAATGATATTCTGCTATTCTTATGGAAAACTCGTGCACGTGTGTTGGAACAATTTTCCATCGCGCGGTTTTCTCGTTGAGAGCAACGCTCGCCGTGAAGAGACGAGAGGCAAATTTAAGAGGAAACTGACACAGAGCGGTCTGTTGGCTAAAAAACATGGCGTCAGCGAAATTAATTAGTCGACCGGTTCATTTCTTTAATTAGCTCCACGCGACGAGGAAAACTTGATTCGCAGCTTAATTAAACGATCGTCTACATTTTTTTATACACTCGGTCTTGCTTTCTCGGACGAACTCTCTCTCGCGATTGGAAGTTACTTCGCGTCCTCCTGTCTCTTGGAGAAATTTCGCGAAGCTGCGTTTAATTTTTTGTTAGATGGAAGGATAGAGAAGCTGGAAAATGGAAAAAAGTTTGTTCTACTTTCACCTGGTATGTTTGTTTGATTCTATCGCACGTTCCTAGGCAAGAAGTAGAATGAACAAATGTTTGCAGTGGCTGCGAAGTACGGAAGTTACAGTAACTTCAGCCAGGTGGGCGGAAATTCAGCAAAGTTAACAAATTCCGAAGTTAGACTGTCCTTTTTTTGCGCTTTATTGACCTTAAGAAACTTGTTCATTTTTATCGAGAATTGTTGGAATTGTTTGACAGAAATAGTTGATCTTTAACAGCTTGTATTTATCGCTTGAACTTCTTTCTTAAGTTGTATGAACAATTATTCTAACTAGCAGTTACAACGTGAACGAAGTAACTGATTAAAAAAATAATTTACAGCTTCTCTGTTATCGTTCTCAAGATCCATGCAGAAAATACTCAAACTTCTTCTGTAACAAACTTCATCTCCACCTTTCCGCTCCACTTCCTCAAAGAAAAGAAGAAAAATAATTTTTCCTTGACTTTCATTTGGAATTGAAAATACTTAAAATGGAAAATTTCTTTTTTGTACGTAAAATTCTTACACACAGGTTGATTTAAAGATTGAAGTGTCACAAGTATGAGTAAAAATACGAGTGCTCATTCAGGCACTCAAGGGTTAATTGTTAAAAAATATACTTAAAGAATGAACACTTCATTTACTGAAAAGAAAGAGCAGCTTTTTTTGATAAATTTTTGAACTTCACAATTTTTCCTCACGGTTTCCACGCGAATTTTAGACTGTTCCAGCGCACGCGCACGTCCGTATAGCGGGTCTCGCGATTCAAGGCGTTTTTGCTCGATGAAATCGATCGCGATCGAACGGTTTGGGCGATTTGTCAGAAACGCGTTAATTAATCGGGACGAAAAGCGGGGCCGCGCAAGTTTCGCCAAACGTTCGGCGGTTAGAACGAGTGCAACGGCATTTGAGACTGATTTTCATGCATTTCTGGACTCGAATCAAGCCCCTCCTAGGAATTTCCTGCCTGTGGATCGCAGTCAGCCCTCTCGTTGCGGTCATTTTTCTCAATTCACGAGCATCTTGGTGGAAGCACGTGTTGGAACCTCGAACTATTCAGTTCACGAGACGAAATCGAAGTTAAATCGAGCAGAGTGCTGATCTCGATGTTCTCACGGCTGAATCAATCAAGAAGAGTGGATTTGAAGGAAAGTGTGAAACCAAAGAGAGATTCTTGCATTGATGTATCGATTGTTGTTTGTTCTTTTAGAAGAGAGCGTGGATATTGAAGTTTTTGTAGTTTGATTACATTGATTTATTGTTGAATTGTTTTGATCGATGAACGAGGAATGGAAACTACAGATTAGGTGGATTTTTATTTGCTTGAATAATTGAAAAAGGATCGAATATTTTCTTAATTTATTCTCGATTGATTTATTTTCATTCATTTATTAATATTTCTATTTTTTAATGTATTAAGTATTCTGTTACTTCTTTCTTTCTCTCCTTCCTTTATCCTTTGGAAAATCGAAGAATAATTTAATTACGTATATAATTACGAATAATATCATGACTAAAAATTTCTCAACGTGAAAGCATAACTCTCTTCGCCCCACAGATTAATTTAAAATTCAAAAATAGATAGGACCATTCCTATTATTTTTCTCGCAACAAATGTCAACAACGTTACGAAATATTTCTGCACGAAATTTCTCAACGCGAAAAGACAACTCTCTTCGGTTTCGCACCGAAATTTCTACCCGATCGAGTTCAGTCGTTGGATTTCGTCTTGCGGGCTCAGTGGCACGTGTCAGAGGCGGCACGAAGGATCCAGCGCGTAACCGGAAGCTCGTAAACGAATTCGCCGATCAAGCGAATGAACGATCAAGCCTCGACGCGACCATTGAGAGCGCTGGGCTGTCGGCGACAACCGGAAACGGGGGGAGAATGACAAGTATTCTTCTATGTCTTTCGGCGGCACGCAACCAAATTGCAAATTTCGACAGTGGATCACGTGCCGGAAACGCGTCGCCCCGTAAACGCTGAGACTTTACAGATGGGGCAGTTAAAACGGGATATTGCGCGTTGCTCACCAGTCACAGTTTACGCCTTCTGTTTATGGTTACGTTGCGGAATGCGAAATTCTTGGAACACTCGTTGCACTTCCAATGATAATTGCGACGATTTTCTGAGGAAAAGGTAACCACCTTTCATCTTTCATTAGTGATTGTGCATCGATGAAATTTTTATCCGGCCTTGTGTCGTATCTTTATGTCAGAAAGGAGTGTTGACACACCTGATCAGGTGTGTTGTATTGTCAATATTACTGTTTTAATTCGTTTCATCTTTTATTAACGATTACAAGGGTAGAACAGTGATTGTTTGCTAACAGAATTTTTATTCAGCTCTTTATCACGCCTTTTGTAATATATTATCGATATTACCGTTGTAATTCGTTTCAAGTGAAATTGTAGACAGGATGAAGTGTTCCCTTGATGCTTGTAGCACGAAGGGAGGAGAGACATGTGCATCGGTATAATTAGGGAGTAAAATCGCAGTGAATAATTAAATATGACGAGCTTATTTGCAGGATTTATCAACTCTGTAACGGTTCGTGCTTTTCAGCTTTGTTCGAGATAAGTCTCAAGTAAAACATGCACCCTTTGCATGTGTATTAATTACTCGGTGAAGCAGGCTTTGTGAATCTACATACATTTCGAAGTTCGTGCATTTCGTTCGAAGAACGCAGCTGTTGAAAACGAAAAGACAACTTGCTCGAGTAATTAAGCTGTTTATTATTTATATCAAGACCTTTTCGTTTGTTTTCGTCGATATTCCACTTTATCGAGGTGTAATTCTTTCGAGAAATTATCGTTGAATCGATTGTCAGAGGGGAATGAACAATTGACTGGGAAAACAGCGTGCGGTATTCTTAAGAGACGCGTTGTTTTTGTAAATAAGTTGTCAACCATAAACGTAGGGTAACGACAAACAGTGCTACCTAGGTGTAATTAGTGAAGAACAAAAGCTGTATTATCTGTAACGCAATACTTATTAACAATGAGATTGTTACGAGGGAAGAGCGCTTTTATTAAGAAAAGAATATGAGTGATTGTTCACCCTCTTTGTTTAACTTTTGACGTGGATTGAACTGAATCTA